AGTTATTTTAAGCAGCATCTTCATTCAATTTATAATCTCATGGTGATTTCACAAGTAGTTCTGCAAGGAGATGACAAAACCTTATAGAAATCTCATTTTCCTGCCCTGGAAGGATTCTCACTTCTAAGCGGAGTGGAACTTTCCCTAACTTCAGAACTGGGAGGTTCAGGGTGATACGTGGCATGGATGATTTGGGGAAAGACTAGAGCCAAAACTCCTTATTTTTCAGTAATCCCCTCCCTCCCCCAAGTTATAATCTGTAAGGTGATCTAAAATTATGAGTTCTTTCATAATAGGAAGGAATTAAGTAATTTTGAGACTCAATGATCCAGGATATGAATCATTCAAGACCTTGTTTGACCAGGGAACTCACTATGGGTCAGAATGACATGGCTTATCACAAAGTATTTTTGTGTGTGTGTGTGTGTGTGTGTGTGTGTGTGTGTGTGTGTGTGTGTGTGTGGACAGAATCCTATTTTTGTACTTAGTAAACTTTACAGAATAGACTAAAGAATAACACTGTTCCTCTCCTCTTGCCTTGAACCTAGCAGAACCTGGGACATATTGGAAGCCCAGTTAGTATTTTTGTAATGATTCTGTGAGTGTGTGTGTGTGTGTGTGTGTGTGTGTGTGTGTATGTCAGCATAACTCTGGAATGCCTCGAGCAATTTCAACCATACTTGGTACACAAATGACTTACTCTATGGAAACAAATATTGTGGGGGTAAGACACCCCTAAAACCCCTTGGGAGATGTGTTCTGTTAAGATACAGCCTATTGTGCCTTAAAATGGCCTCTACTGTACGGTGCAGTGAAGTTGCCATGGTAACGGCTTCACGGTACTCCACAAGCGGGGCTCCCTCTGGTAAGGAGAAAATCCAACATTAGAAATTACATTTGGTCCGGACATTTTTCCCCTATAAATAAATACCCAGGTAACACAGATAACACTATCAGTTAGTAATAATATAAAATTTAAATATAATAAACTGCTCCACGATGCATGCTTACAGTATGTGGAGCTCCGTATCTCTCCACCACAGCCTATGAATTCACAGCAACAAGGCAATTGATTAATATGTGCCATCAAGCCGGTGTCAACTCTTAGTGGCCACATAAATTTTCTCCTTGATGATGTATCTCTAATTTAGACTTCCAGATCATCACCACTGTAACCGAGTCCACCCATCTTGCTATTGGTTGTCCTCATCTTATTTTTTCCTTTAACCTTTTCTAGCATTAGAGCCTTCTGCAGAAAGAACTATAGAGCCACATAAATCAACTCAGCATAGCTGACATCATTTTGGTTGCCAGAGATGTGAGGCTAGTAACTCTCCCATCATTAAATTGGCTGGAGTTATCTGGCTTGGCTGTTGAGGCCTGTTTTTGACATCTGCAATGGGACCACACCCTCCACTGCTATTTTAGAATGATGAAACGAGGATGTTACATCTGTACTGTATTCATACCCAACAGTATGATTTGTTTCCATCCTGTCCTTTTCTAATGACAGGGGTAAATCTTCATACAAATTAAAGGAGTAGAAATCAAGCTTTTCCTATTTCAAAATGACTTGTAGAGAAGACTTTTTAATTATTAATTACATAGCATTTTTCTGCTTCTATTTTAAGATAACTTTCACTTTGTTCTTTCTCTTCCTTTTTTAAAAAAACGAGTTTGAATAAGTCAATGAGAATCTTGTTAGCAAGGTAGGAGAAACAGGATGACATTTGACAAATTGAGTGGTTTAAACATTTACACATATGTAAAAATGTTCAGGGAGCAGCCAGAACCATTCAAGTCATTCTAGTTTACCCACTTTGAAACAAAAGGTAGATTTTCAAGCTTATCAGCTAAAGCCAAATATATCAAAAAATATTTTATAGCCAAAGTGAGAGACTGCCTGCTGCCAATTACCTCCCACAGACCCATTAGATCTCACAGGGTTGGCCTCCTCCGGGTGCCATCTACCAGCCAATGCCACCTGGCTATTACCCGGGGGAGGGTCTTCTCTGTGGCAGGTCCAGCCCTCTGGAATGAACTCCCCGCAGGGATTCGGACCCTCACCTCTCTCCAGGCCTTCCGAAAAGCCGTCAAAACCTGGCTTTGCCGGCAGGCCTGGGGGTGATGAGTTCCCTCCCCTCTCGACATGTATGGTTGTGCGACTGTTGTCTACTTTTATTATTTGTATTTTGTCTTTTATGTTCCCCCTTTTTTCCCCCCTTGAATTGTTTGCTGCCCTGAGTCCTCCCGGAGAAGGGCGGCATACAAATAATAAAATACAATACAAATACAATACAAGTGGAAAGTTGTGTGAATGATGATGGTTGGAACTCGAGATGAATCAGTACAGAGTCAGGTTTTTGTTGCTTACAATACTGTGTATTGTATATGTTTCTTTAATTTTCCTTTGCTATATCTCTCATTTAAATGTGCTTTAAAAATGTTATTTTTATTATGTCTATCCCTAGTAAGGACTATCTGATTAGAGAATTCCTGCATTTTAAGGCCTCAAGAATGTAAGTTCCTATATGTCCTTTCCTTTTCTATGGGGGTTGTCAATCTGTCAGAAATTAACTCACATATCAAAGTCATTAATCCATGTTTCCCTTTCAGGAATGTGCCTTTATTTTACATCATGAAGAGTATTGTATCGGAGTTCCTTTCCGGTTCTCTTATTTCTGAATCAATTATAAAGCAATTCCATCTGTATTTCAGGTTTTGTGCTAGTGGTTTATATTTAAACTGTTTTTGATCAACTAAATATAAGACCAATATAATTTTGTGCATCCCCAAGAAGTCAGGGACTCACTGTAACCTGTTGGCTTTATAAACCATGGTTCAATTGTTGGTGCTTTGGCAGTGAATTTTCCACCAGAATGACCGAAATTGATACTTTTGTCCCCCTGAAAAAGGCTTAAATCAGCAGAGTTTGCTGACAAAAAAGAGATAAAGAAATAGAGAAGTTGGCAAGAAAGAAAACACTTTGGAGACACACATAAGTATTGGCCTACTTACATGGACTTATTTGCTTACAAGTGTGAATTAGTGTGCAATAGGTACTGATGTAACTTCATCCTTCTCTAGCCTACTGCCTCTAGATATGTGGGATCACAATATCCACTTGAACAATATCCACTTGCGGGGAAAGTAGGGGAAATAGTGTTTCCACAGTTTGAGACCTACCTTCCTTGCTTCCTGCCTGCCTGCCTGCCTGCCTGCCTGCCTGCCTGCCTGCCTGCCTGCCTGCCTG